GATTTGATTTGATTTGATTTGATTTGATTTGATTTGATTTGATTTGATTTGATTTGATTTGATTTGATTTGATTTGAACTGATTTGAATCCATGATTTGAATCAAATACACTATATATAATAAATGAAAAATCTTTATATTTTATAATTTTATTTATAAAAATATTTTTTATTTTATATTTATTTATATAGTATAAATATTGTAAAATTCAAAAAAAAAATTTTTACCTGGAGCAATAATTGCATCTCTTGTTTAAGTTGAAGAAGCATCAGTAATATTAGTGCTTATTATTTTAATGATTGTACAACCATTAATATTAATATTAATATTAATATTAATATCAAGAAATCCGTTAAAAATTCCAATAAATATCATATCAAGAAGAGTATTCATTAAATGGAGGCACACTAATTGAGATTCATTGTGTAATATAAATTTAAAATTAAAAATATTTAATATGACGTTAAAATTTTTTTTAGGAATCCTAATCCGGTTTGATTCGAATCAATTCGAATCGAGTCACGAATCGAATCCTGTTTTTTTGAATTCGAATCGAATCGAATTGACTACAGATTGAATAAAATAGAATTGAATCACTCCCAAATTTGATTTGATTTGATTCATTCGGAGTCATGCAAAAGTTGCAGATAATGCTTTAAATGTAAACAATATGAATTTAATCCTGGTGGAAATGAAAAAAAAACCTAAAATGCGAAATACAATCTTTGATGGAAAAATTCAAACTGTGAATTTTCCTGATGACTTTCCATGATCCCAAATTATGCGGAAAACCCAAAGGAATAAAATTGATTATATTTGGAACTTTAGGTTTAGTTAAAAAAATTTTTGTAATCTTTGAACTTCCTGAGCAGCTTTAGTAAAAGTGCTGCTTGGACCATACTTATCATAATAAATGGACCTTGGTGTCTTGCCTTTCATATACTTACCCTTTTTCTTCTTTTCCAATTTGTCCATATTAGCTCCAATGGTTTATCAAATAAATTTTCAAAAATTCTTTGTTCTTGTCCCCATTTCATCTTCTTCTTCCTGAACACTGTCATCACCCCACTCTCCATTATTATCAATATCATGTAATTTATCTGATTCTTCATCAATTATATTATTAGTGTTAGATCTTTTTCTTGTTTCATCCTCATACTCATCTTCATTTTTGTGCATTTTCTATGGATGTTAAGCACAGAAAATGCATGGGAAACACACAGGAAAATGTACATTTTGAGGCATTTTCCAAAAATTCCATAATTTTTGATCATTTGTCAGAGAAAAAGTTTGTTATCAAATCTGACAAAGACTGGCAGAAATGATAATAGCACATCAACTAAATACCTACTAAATGATATATAAAGTTCTGGTTATACACTTTTACAGAAAGAACAAATGCTTATTTATTTATATAAAAAATTGGAATTTGGTTTATGATGGCAATTAGATCTTTTACAATAATAATAATAATCAAAATCATCAAAATCACAAACTTATGTCAATTTATTGATCTGAATTATTTTTAGAGAGATTTACACTTTTTTCGTAATATTGATTTGGATGAACAATTGGTTCCTTTGTTGCCTCTTCAACTCCATCATCAGTGGTTCCTCCTGTTCCTTTAATAACTTCAAAATATTTGGTACAGGCTATATTATAATGCTTATCTTTTGCTAATTCCATGATTTTTTTCAGGTTGTTTTCATCTCTTATTCCATTTTCTATCAATGTTGCTTTCAAATTAGATTCATAGAAATGTCGAAAGGGACAACCATGATGTTCATTAGGTCCAGGCACATTGTTCCTAACTATAGACATACAACTTTACAAATAACAACAATGATGATAATGTTTAAGTGAATGATAGATTATTAAAATAAAACAAAAATAATTTAATTTTACCTATATGGTGCATAGTCACGACGACTTCCTTCTAAGCCATAATCATGTCTAATATTATATGAATATTCTTTTTGAAATTTATCAGCTGTGAATTTTGAAAATGATTTTTTCCAAAAATTAAGTGATTCTTCAACAGGTAATCCAATTCCCTAATATTTTTTTAAAATGATAAATGATAAAATAAATATTTTTGTTTGGTTTACAAAAGATAAATGAATAAATTATTAACCTTAAGAAATAAATTTAATTGTCTTCTTCCATTATGCTTCAAATGCTTGTCCTCACAAAGTTTTTTATATAAATATTGCATGCATAAAGGAAAATGACCCACCACCTAAATATATAAGGGAATTATTATTTTAAAAAATTGAATTTTGAAAAAAACCCAATTTTTTTATTCACCTGATTCACATCATTAGCTGTTATTTTTCCAGTGACAACATTCATACCAGTATATGAATTGCCAATATATTGTTCATTTAATTCATTTAATAAAGGCAAAATCCTCTCATCTTCTAAATTAATAAAAGCTCTACTTGTTTGCTAAAATATAAAAAATACAATTATAGTTAATCTATATTATATATAATATATATATATATATTATAATATCAATGTTTACTTCTAAAGCTGCACCAAGATGTTTGCGAAACTCGGAAACCACAAGCCCACTTTGCTCACATGATGGAGCATAAGCCATACCATATTTTAAATAAACAGTACGTCTTGTAACAAGATCCAATACTTTTCTAAAATCTGTCTGATGAAAAAGATTATAATAAAAAAGTCATTGTAAATATTATCTTTAAAAAATATGTATTTTAAAAAAAAAAATATATGAATGCGTGAATATCTTACTTGAAAAAATTCCTCTTTATTAAAATCAACAGTAGGATATGTATTCATCAATTCATTTTTAAGTTCTTCTTTTTCACTTTGACTTAACTTATTGAGAAAGACAATTGTTATTGTTGTTGTCATTGTTGTTATTGTTATTATTATTATATTATATCAATCAATTAATTAATAATGAGCTTACATATTTTAATCCAAAGTTATGTTCCTTTAAAAAGGCTAATTTTTCTATTTTTTTTTCATTAAGATATTTAATTCTATTATATGTAATGTTTTTTGAATATTATATAAAAAATAAAAAATAGATTATTAATGAAAAAATTTATCTAATTAATTAATATTACCTAAATAATTCAGTTTCATATTTTAAGAACCAATGTCTTAAATCTGCACTAAAAAATAATTTTAATTCATTATATTTATTGATTAGAAAAATAAAAATAATAGTAATAATAATAATAGATTATACGTTCTACAATGTGCCAATCTTAAAATAAAATGTGATAAGTGATCTTTTCTCCTTTCATCTTGAACTGGATAGCTTTTTGATGAATCATTTGAATGCAAGGGAAGATGTAGTTTAGAAACTTCTTCAACAAGTTTTATAGTTTGTTCATCAGTTTTATCACGTAAATTTGCTCCCTCAATTGCCTTCAACACTATATGTGTACATATTTATCATGTAATTTTGTAATATAATATTGAATTTTGTTAGAAAATCAAATAAATACCTTGCAATCTATCTAATGCAAACAAATTAAATTCCTCGAGTGTAATTTCTTCATCTGGCAAATAATTATAAAAGTTTAAACAGCGTGGATACCAAATTTTGTGTCTTTTAACTGCTCCATCACTTTCTTGTTCTTTAATAATAATATTTTTTTTCTCAGGTTTAAACATTGTTTTTTCTCTATTAAATTCCAAAATATATTATACGCGAAAAAAATACACGTATTAGTGTCAAAATGGTTTCACAGCAATTCAAAATCGCATATTTTGAATCGATCTTTGCAATTCAGCAATTTGTAATTGCTAAAATAAATATGAATGAACTGCTTCAATATTAACCACAAATAAAAATTTTCTCGTAATAATATTATAAAAAAATGGCTGAAGTTGAATAATTTGCATTTCAAGCCGAGATTTCTCAGCTTATGTCTATTATTATAAATACTTTTTATTCAAATAAAAAGTAAAAACATCTTTCTGTCATTAATGTTGCAAAAAAATATATATTTAAGAAAGATAATATTTGTATTAACCAATTCATTTGATGCTTTGGATAAAATTCACTCACAGATCCTCTAAAATTGGACACTGAACATGATCTTTATATAAACATAATTCCTGACAAAGAAAACAAAAGTACTTACTATTAGAGATACTGATATTGGTATTATAAAGGTTATATTTTAAAACAATTAAAAAAATTTTTGTAGATGTCTTTGCAAAGTCATCATTATTTAGACAGATCTTGTAAATAACCTTGTTGCAATTGCTTGATCAGGTACTAAATCATTCATGGAGGCTCCTCAATCTGGAGCTGATATATCTATGATTGATGGGTTTCTACTCTGCTTATTTGGTTGCTGATCGAGTTCAGGTCATCACCAAACATAATTATAATGAACAATATATTTGGGGATCTGCTGCTGGTGGTTCATTCACCATTACATGTGATACAACCAATCCACCACTTAGACATGGATCAGAAATCAAACTCTTTCTTAAAGATTAACTTGAATATATTGAAGGAAAAAAAAAATAAAAAATTGTTAAGAAACATTCTGAGTTCATTAGTTATCCATTCAACTTGTTGTTGAAAAAGAAGTTGTTAAAAAAGAAACTGAAGAGGATGAAGGCGAAGAGAAAAAAAAGAAAGAGTTATCTAAAGAAACTGAAGAGTTTAACAAAACCAAACCAATTTGAACTCATAATCCTGATAATATTAAAAATGAAGAATATATATGCTGTTTTCTATAAATCACTTAATAATGATTAGGAGAATCATTTAGCTGTTAAACATTTCTTGGTTGAAGGTTGAAGGACAAATCAAATTCCATGCAATTCTTTTTATACCAAAACATGCACCTTTGATTTGCTTGAAACCAAAAAGAAGCATAACAACATTAAGCTTTATGTAAGAGGTGTATTTATTATGAATGACTGTGATGACTTAATACCAGAATATCTTAGTTTTGTTAAGGTCATAGTAAATTCTGAAGATTTACCTCTTAATATTCTCTTGAAACACTTCAGCAAAATAAAATCTTGAAGGTTATTAAAAAATATTGTCTAGAATTGTTCAATGAAATAGCAGAAGATAAGGAAAAATTTATGGAGCATTTGCTAAAAATCTTAAACTTGGTGTTCATGAGGATTCATAAAATCAGCAGAATTCCTTCATTATTATTCTACAAAATTTGGTGAATAATTAACATCATTGAAAGTAAGTTTGCCCTTCATGATCAAACATCAAATGTTGCAATGTACCCACAACTTTACATATTACATATGTACATAAAAACTATGTATACATAATGTTGCAACATAATCATGATGCAGTTACAGTCTCCAGCAAAAGTAATGGTGGTGATAATTTTTTTAAAAACTAAAAATTTTTAATAAGCAACTACCAATAAAAATTTATTTTTAAAATGCCTCTAAGTAAAACATTATGCTTTTAAAAGCTTATAGTATAAAATGTTTTCCTCCTTTCTCAATCCCAGTTTGAATCTAATTTGAGCATTAAAAAAAATCAGAACTTTGGCTTTTTTAAAAATTTTTTAAATTTCATTTTTCTATTAAACTTTTTTTTTATTAAGTAAATGAATCTTT